CAAAAAAAAAAACCCAGAAAAACAACCCTAAGCCCTAACAAGAAAAACTCGCACCGGCAAGAGGGCTGTGCGGTTCAAACTTTTATTCCAAGGCATTTCAGTGACCAGACTGGCAGGCCCTCACAACGACAGGTGTCCCAGGATGAGGGCGCAGCGGCGCTCTGCCGCAACTCCCGTGACTGCGCCGCCGCCACACCGACGACACCGAGAGATCTCTGCGACTGCACTTCGGCCTCGTCCTCGCAAAGAAATGTTAACAAGTCCGCCTCCAGTCCCGTTCCCACTCCCCCCAACTCCTAGAGAAGTTACTGTGTGCGAGCAAATGCAGACTCACCAGCCCTTAGCAAATAACTGAGTGAGATTTTATTAAAAGATTTTTTAAAAACCACTGTCACCAGAACTCACATTCAATTCCTTCTTTTTTTCCAAGTTTTCTTTTATCCGAAGTCTTTATCTCTTTACTCTCTATTTCTCCTTTCTTCTTACAGTCTCTTTCCCTTCCTTATTTAAATGCTATCCTTATACCCAAAATACTTTAATATTGAAGCATTTACTCCCTTTTAGTCTCAGGCGCCACAACTGATAGCATCATGACAAATCATGACATTATGCCAAAATATTTGCACACAGAAGGCATGTGGAAAGAAAGGAAGTCCTTTTGTGCATAAAGCACTCTTGCCAAAGGAAAGCTCTAAGCTTCTAAGCTCTGTAGGTGCAGAGCCTAACGAAAGAACCTGAGAAAATCTGAGATAGACGAAGTCTCTTACCCCTTCCAGCAGCAAAGAGGTAGATGCAGCACTGCTTTTCACGTAGACTGAAAGGGGAAATTTGGTGGGCAAATCCTCATCAACTCCTTTTGTTGGCAGCCCTTTATGCAAAGCACTAGGGTGTTCTCATGGCTGCTACCAGCAGAACAAATCATACACAAAGGTCAGATTAGTTGGTTTCACTGGTTAGGCTATACCTGGCTTGCAGAATGGGAGCCCGACACCCATGCTAACCAATTAATGTAGCGTGCATTCCTTACATTGAAAAACCCAGATTTTTGATGCAGCTAAGTGAAACAGTACTGATTTAAAAAAAAAAATAATAAAATATCCCCATAATCCCTAAACTAGGCAGGATCATTTTTAAAAAGGAGAAATCTAAATTAAACATGGCAAAGGTACACTGTATCAAAAAGACATTTTTATGCTTCTCTATTCAGCTCTTTGCCCTGTAGTGTAAGGACCATTTGTGCGTGAAAAATCCTGTTGATCCTCTTCATCCAAATCCAAAATGTCGGGTACATCATCTGACTCTGAAGACAGGTCTGTAATAGTGAAATCTGGAACCTGTGTAGGAATGAAATTTCAATCAATTTAAAAGTAAAACTAAACAGATTTGTGCAGTACTCCTTCACTGATGACAGGATACAAAGATGCTCAGCACCTCCAGAAATCAGACCAAACATCCTGATTACAGAATGAAATATGTTCAGACATATAGAAAACACAAACCTTTAAGACAGATCAAATACTACACAAGATGGAAATTAGTTGTTTAGAAGGTAGGACTTTATAGTAGAGATGGACAAGAGCTGAATGCAGTGGACTAAATTTAGTGAAACTGGTGACCAGAAAATTAAGAAAGGAGGTTTTAAAACTAATTTTACCTTTCTTCTTTTCACAGAAGCAATGGACTATACAAAGTAATCTGCCCTGAGGAGATTGATAGGGATTGCTGTGTTGCTCTGGATGCCAATGTCTGCATCAGACTTTTTTTGATGAAACCAAAACCTGGAACTGCAATGTCACTTTGGCCTCCATTTTAACTGCGCGTATCCTGTACTGCTAAGCAGCACAGGGTTTCAGGAATTGCCAGAGAGACATCAGTGGATACATGGATGTTGCAGACTTCTAAAAATGTTGTCTAAGACACTTAGGAGCTTAAGTCCCAACCCTTAAGTCCCCTTTGCAGGACTTAGATTACTTAGGCACTTCTGAAAAATAGGATAAAATTAAGCAATTTACTCATAAGTTTTTTTGCCCCAGGTGAAAAATACTCATATCTGTAATATGATTTATGGTTAGTTTTAATGTTGGTGATGTGACATACTTGGAGCCAGACACAGTATCAACAAGCAACTACTGCTGCATTTTGACAGGCCTGTTTCTGTTCAAAGCAACATCAGCTTGCAGGCATTTCTGTAACTTAAGCTCAGCACCGACTGAAGTGGCATTTTTAATGCATTCCCTAACTACAAAACACCTTATGACTTACTTTAATGAGACAGTAAGCGATAAAAATCTATGCTTTGCCTGCTATGAAGGCGGAATAGGAGGGTTGACAATGTATTAAATAAAGGGAGTACTGCTTCAGCTACTAGGCTGTGCTCAACACAGAAGCTCTACATGTTAATTTACTGGTCTTACAGAACAGGTATTCACTGGACACCAGGGATCTTTTAAACACTAGTTATTTATTTAAATTAATCTTTAGAAGAACTTAAGCAGCATGTGACTAACAAGGAACTACTGTGGATACCATGAAATGTGTGGACCACTTTGAGAACTTAGCTTGATCAAAATAACATCAGTAATTTTTGTTTCCCAAAAGATCAAAAGGCACTAGGAATGGAGGAAACACATCTTTCTACCAGAAAGAATTATTTTCCATCTTTCTGCTTATGGCAGTTTCCCTAAAACTCTCATTACTGCACTTAAAGAAAGCAACAAGTTTCCCCATTATCAGCACATGATCTTGTATTTCATACTGCAGTATATAAATACAGGTAGAAAAACAATTCTTATGCTGCAAAATACATTCTTACAAATAAGAATATGCCCAAATGGATGGTTATATATATTTAAACTGACCAGGACAGATTTTTATTACTTATAACCATTTTATTCTTAGTGACAACAGAGTAATTGCTCACATTTAAGTTTCTGCCTTCTTCATCTCCTTAATGCATGCAGCAGAAGAACTTGACTCCTTTAATGTAATAGTAAAATTTTTGATAGCCATGAAAGAACTTCAAATTGCAGTGTATCTCAGCATGACTAAAACCGACTGGATGTCAGTATAATTCACCTCTGTTTTGATTGTGCTAAATTGTACTAGAATCACATATTCTGACATCTGCACCAGTCTAACTAAAACAATGCCAAGCCTTCAGTGTTATGGGATTGCTTATGTAAAAGACCCTCGCTTCCACACCACTTTTCACAGTTGACTCAACTTCCTAGCAATTCTGGCAATAAAAGAGTAAAAGCAGATATAACTCCTTCTTCATGCAATTTCTCTTCATGATTCAGTGTATCATTTACAAAGATATAATACTTGCAAAATCCCCACATAAAACAGTGCCAAAAAATACTTTGGCATTTTGCTGTCTTCATATATAAATGTTAATGTCAATTCTAACTACAATCCATTTTTTTCTTGCTAAGATTTTAGACCTGAGCCACTAGCATTTTGACACAGCATTCTCATTCTGTGAACTTTCAAAACAAGTGCTTATTTTTAGCCATCAGTGATTGTATTATCCAAAAGAAATAAAATTGCCATGAATTGGCAATAAATATGAAATAAAATTTATTTATCAAAACACTATCCACAATACCTCCAGCAAGCTACTTCATGTAAGACTCTCTGATCATGCAAATTAGTAACCAAGCATACTTTAAAAAAAGTTCAGTTTTGTTTCATCTTTTTAATTATGAAGCTTTAAAAGAGCTTTTTAGTGGTAGTTACTGCTTTTTTAAATAGTGAGAAATCATTTATCAGTTGTTCCCAAATCCTTTCATATATTTTATTAGCTATAAAATATTATCTAAGTTGAATTTTGGAAAAGATTGCAAAAATATTAATCTTGAAGAATAAGAGATATTTCCAAAGCTTTACACTTTTTTTAGATTGAGGCACCCTAGCTGCAACTCCAGGCCTTGCACAAATCTTGTAATTTGGGCTTGACCAATGCTATAAAAATGTTTGCAAAACTTGCATACCATATGGAGCTATTCACAAATGCTTATATTGAAAGGTTTTCTAGAAAACTACTATCAGCAATGATAGAATAATAGTTCTCTGTTAAATGCACCTGGGAAGAGAAAGTGTCAACTAGCATGAACAATTTTTGAGTGATCTCTAGAAGAGAAAAAGTAATTTTCTGAATTCTAAATAAACCCTAAATAACCTTACAAGTGATAATGATGTTAGTATTACAACCTTTACTATCCCAGGTTTTCTGCAATTAGCAGCCTTTGACATTCTTCCATTTAGTCTAGTTTACCTGCCTTGCTGAAAATAGTTGAATCTACTTCCTGTCATTTTCAACACATCTGGTCTTACCATTTTAAAAAGTTTTCAGAGAAACCTCAAAATTTTCTAGCCCAAGCTATATTCTCAAATGTGATTTTGAACTGAGAGGAAGAAAGCTTCTGTGCAGTGCAGCTGAGATGTTTAATATATGCACTTGTAGAGAAAAAGGTAAGATGTCAGTAGCTCAGCTTTCCCATCTTTATTTGTGGGAAGCACCCTCCTCTAGAGAAGAGTCTTCCTAATTCTGATGGGGGATGGGGGGCTGTGCGTGTGTGGATAGAAACTTAAAAACATTTGGGGGGAGGGCAGGCAGCATCCAACAGAACTAGCACCTACCACAACACCATGATACAGGAGACCAGCCATTAGGTAAGCATTTAACCAGGCCTTGCTCTGTTTGCAGCCACCAGTTATAGGTCAGCTGCCAGAAGTCCAAGTACTTTTGAACAGAAGTCACCCTACAGCACAGGGTAAGGAAGAAGTGCTTTGAAGTTCTAGGCTGGTAGCAACTTTTCCTTGCATTCTACTTCATCTGCTTGCTGCAATTTAGTAAAGCTGGACAGCCATGCAAGAATACAAACCAGTAACACAAGACAGAACAGACACAATGTACTGCATCTGCACTAATGCTAGATGATGTTGTTTATTTCTCAGTCCTTAAAAGACACTGAAAAGTTTGAGTAACTTACTTGATAGATCACCTCAGGATGAAGTCCCAGAGTAATAAGACTTTAAAGCACACATAGAATAGAAATTCCCTTCATTGAACAGCCCACTCCTTCTACACCTAATTAGTTCCATCCAGCTCAGTTCCTGAGCACACTACAATAGTGGATGCATTCTATGGGTATTATTGCAAATGGAAATAAAATTCTCACTGGACCTATGTAATAGTAAACTTAAAAATAAATTAATTCCTGAAAGCACTATGTCTCCAGAAGTCTTAACTCAGACCCTAGATGGAAATGAGTCTCACCATCTCATGTTGATTTCATGTTAAACACCTCCCTTATATAAAGTGAGTATTAAACATTGTAAATTACAGAATCTTTACCTGCAATCCTGTTTTTTCTACAGTTTCATTTAATATTGTGCTTAAACCAGTCTTCCTCACACTTCTAGGCCAACCCTGATCTAACAGCTAACCCTCTCACATTAGAAAGCTGGACAACGTATAATTTGCTTTAGTGCCTAAATCATGCCAAGTGGAGGTATTTGTTCCATGTAGCAATGTGCGGCTATGTGATAAGCTTTCTTTGAACTCCACTTTTGCCTTGTACTGCTTTGTCACTTATTTGAAAATGGTGGCTGGCAGTGCAACACTAGATGATTGCAACCCCAAGTTGTATAGGGCATGCATCAGAAAAAAAGATACAACTTACCTGGACAGCACTAATGCAAGAAAGCTTATTTCTTAGTAACTAGTTCTTTTCCAGTGGAGGGGTTCACAGGACTTACTGAGAACAAATAATTCCACTGAAGTAGTTGAATGTAAACATACATTTGTCACTCAAGTTCAAGAGAACAAATAAAGTTAAGTTAAAACTGGTGATGCAGGTGAGAAGTAAAACCTGTTTATAGGGAGTCAGAAGACAAAGCTGGTAGATGGCCATGTCATGCACACACAACACCTGCTGTGAAGGGGGGAGAGGATTCTTTTCTCCATATCCATCTCTTTTCAATATTAGAACATTCATCAGCTCACAGCTTAGGTCATCTTTAAAGGTGACAACAGCAAGGATCAACAAAAGCATCAGTAAAGCTAAGACTCACTGGACAGATACACAGAAATCCAAAAGGAAGGAAATGCTGCAGCAGAATCTCATCTATCTATCAATACATACACACACATTTTCAATGCACATCTACTTCATCTGCATGCCAAACTTGCTTTCTGCTGGACCCAGTTTGAGGGAGTCACAGAAGAGCAAGTTAGACTGTTTTAAAACAAAGGAGACAGGCTTTGGCAACTAAAGCATTTATTACTAACATACAAAAATGAGTTACAAAACAATGGCTACAAAAACACACACTCACAACAGCAGGCACCTGGGTACAAACAGCATGAATCTTCTTTTATACTGCATATTAAAAAAAATTGTTTATAATTATTTGGTCAGTCACTGGAACAGTGCTCATGAAGCATCTAGATGATGCTTTTAGTCATAAGGTTTAATTTTTCAGTTTTTAGGTAGTCCTGCAAGGAGCAGGAGTCAAACTTATGGGTCCACTCCAGCTTGAAATATTCTATAATTCTGTGGTCAAGTTATTGTGTTATACAATACTTAAGTTTATACAGTTAATGTTAAAACTGTAACAGCATTTAACTCCAGCTGACTCATTCAGAAACCCCACTTTCAGCTTTGGCATTCTATACTCACAGAACTTTTGTCATGAATTATGTAGCAATAGAATCTGAGATAGTCAGATGCACAATTATCAAAAGTGTGATCTGAAGCAATCATAGCATTTAACTGTAAACAGTTAGACTGTAGAACTTTTAAATGCATTCATAGTATGTAAGGCTTTCGTATCATTCTGGGAGAAATTAAGCAGCAAATCAAAGCTATGGTGGATTTCATTTAGACTAACAGTATTAATAGTATTAATACCACTGAAAAACAATGAGGGCTTGACAGACAAACAGGGCATCTTGACAACTGTCAGCTGCCCATAATTAGGCGCTTGAGTTTAGTTTAAATTTTTAAGGATGGCTTAACTACACAGGACAATACAGCCCATGTGTAAGTTTCCTGGCCTGTAGATTCCCCTATTCCTGTATTTATAGACTGTTCACCAAAAAATGATGAAAATGGATTTTTTTGACAGCTACACTTAGTAAGGCCACTTATTTGGTCAGTCAGCAGAGTACATGCTTGCTACGCAGTTTATTCAGTAGTGTGTTCAGGCTGTTTGTCTTTCTGGCTGGCACTTTCCTCCCCTTCACCTTTGCTTTCAGCATGCTGAATGCCAGGCAGTTGTAGGTAAAAGGGACCTACCAGCCAGTTGAGCGGTGTGTTGTTAACAAGATAATCCATCACATCATCCAGAGTCTCCTTCATTTTCTTCAGCTGTCCTTTGCTGGCTGCAATAAAGCTGTCTGATAATTCTTGGAAGGAGGATGCTGACCGAAAGCTCTGGTAGACATCACCTGCCATTGACCCAACACTGTAAACCTGATCCTGTACATTCTGTGGCAGGCCCTGTAGGCTTGAGACCAGTGTGAGGCAGGTGGTCTGAAGCTGCTGAGTGAGGCTCCGTGCAATAGCTAGAGTTCTTGACTCAATGTGCTAGAAAGAACAAGCATAACAGCACATTAGTGTCTTCTTATGACTGTAGCAGCTTTATGTTGATCAAGATACTTAAAGAAGCAAAGGGGATGTAAGTGAAATAAAGCTATAGCAGATAATAAACCAGATTTTAAGTCTGAAGCATCAAAGACTTAGAAACAACTTGATATTTCTTCAGCACTCAAGTACTTTGTGAAAAGAAACTGATAGCTTCTACCCAGTGACAGTCAAGCAGATTCTTGTTTCAACTCTGGATAACAAGTCACAGCAGGTAAGTACATTATAATCAATGAACTATCCCTGAAAGCTATGTGCAGGACTCAGTGAGTCTGTGCCTGAAACTGCTGACATATCATTATTTCTGGTCTGGACACATCACATAAATGGTTTCTAGCTAATCTACATACAAATATCCCAACACAGGTTCACATGCTAAACAGGATGAACATTCTCAAGAGAGGAGAATGAATCCCAGAGGGTTTGCATGAAGTAGGCTCATTTAAAGAGTTCAGGTCTCCTACTTCTCGGAAGTCATCTGCCCTCAGCTTCAGCATCCAGCCTCTCTGTTGCACACTTTGGGGACTGTTAGCTTGCCATGACCTTGATGGGATACAATACATTTATTTCTAGTGTACATTTACATCTATTTACCTCAGCACTACGCAGATCATCACCATCACTTTGGCCTGTGTTTTTCTTCCATTCTACCCAGGACTGATAAAGCTTTTCCTGAGCACCAAGAAGTTTCTTATTGGCACTATTCACGTTCTTTCTGGCATACTCGATCTGAAATACAGCAAAATAAGGAAGTAGAGCCAAGAGTCCAAAGAGATGCTTTAGGGCTTCTCTACCTTGACTGTTTTGTAACTGTCTTTTAAAATACTTCATAAAATCAGTATAAATAACTTTGGGGAGTGTAAGAGTGTGTTTAGTCTCATCAAAGAATTGAAAACTGAAAGCAGTTTTAAGATGTTATGTAGTGTTCCCCTCTGCCTCAGCTATTTCCCCATCCCCCACTGGCATCCTATAGGAGGAATTGAAAGTGTCTAGGCCATGACTCTATGTGCAGTTTGTCATGTACATAAAGGTATTTGCTGGGATAAGACTATGAAGTACCAGAAGTGCTCAGAGACAGAAGCAGCTAGAGGGCAAGTCCCAAAAGAATTAGAAATTTTACTAATAAAAAGGACTGTTGTGTTTCTAAATTGCATAACACTTCCTTCACTGAATGAATTATATATCAAAACCAGCACTAAAAAACAGGAATAAATTCAAACATGTTCACTTCTATTTCTGCAGTGCAGTTACATGCAATTGCTCATTAGTTCACATCTCAGCCTGATTTAGAACTCTCCAAAATCTCTTAATGGCAAATTCTTTGTATTTAATGTAATACACATAATACATGTAATAATGTATTTATGCATTTAATCAGAGAGCAATCCCTGTTTTTCTGTGACTCTTTTGGCTGTTTTCTTCACTCTAAAGCAAGGCCAACATATGTTTTTTATATATCAGGTGAAAGCTTAAACTTACCAGACTAACAGTGTAATTGAGCTGAGAGATTGTCTCCTGGCTTTTCTGTTTAGCATCTCTAACTTTGTTTAAGGCTTGTTGGTAGGCACGTGCACGGACCTTTGAAGACAAGGATCCTAGTCTAACGTAGTAGCTTGGCTTTTGGACTCCCACTTCAAAGCCTTCAACATTTGCAGCTTCTTTCTCTAGGTATGCAGAAAGGAAGCAAATTAATAGCTGGAGGAAAACTAAAGAGGTCTGAGACAATTTTATCTGCCTAGTAACAGCTGAATATAGGGCTTGTTGAGTAGTCCTTTAGCACCAATAAGTAGGCTGATAGACCACCGTACAGAGAAATCCTTATTTTCACTCTGCTTCCTTGTGAAGATGCTGCTACTACAATCAGCAAGGCAAAAGCCAGTTTGGGAAGCATGTGCCCCCTTCCCCACTATGAGCAAACAATAAATAGATAATTGCTTGCTTCTCTCCAATATAATCATTCCAACAAAACCAAACCTTCAATTGGTCTTACCTAGTTCTGCTTCTGTAAGTGGAAGATACTGGTCCACAAGGGTCTCTGATTTTGTGAGAGCACTGTCCACACCGCTGCTCACCATTTGCACCACACGACTTCCCAGGACAGTGTTAATGCTGCCATTGACAACTGACTTGGTCATTTCTACGCTGTCTTGCACTGCTTCTTTAGTCTTGCCCACAACTCCAGTGATTGTGTGAGCAACAGTTTCCTTGGCACCAGTCACAGTGGTTGTTACAGCGTCTCTGGCTCCAACAACTACATCCTTGGCATTGGCAACAACCTGCCACAGGACATGCTTGTATTTACTAGAAGTATTAGCTAGTTGAGAGCTACATAATCCAGGAAATAATAAATTTATGCTAAAGCTTGTACAAGTATTGGTTATCTAGAAGAAAATTTGCCCTGAAAAAATATGTACAAGAGAATAAAGAACATGACTGCCACACAGCTTTCAGCTCAAAAAACTTCAGTGAATGTAACCTAGGTGCTTCACACGGAGCAAGAAAGAGGCAATGACTCACATTTTAAAAGACACCCACCAGTAAACTGCACCTATAGAAAGATGTTGTCAAGTGGTGGGCAATTTCAAACAATGGGGAAAAAAACCCAAACAACTCAATGGTCTCTCAAAGGCAACGAATTGTCCTACAGATACATCTCTGGTTCTTTCCTTGCTTCCAAGCTGTGCTTCAGGCACAGCCGTTTGAAACGTGTCTCCCTGGGGTTTTAGTGATAATAGAAAAGAAGGGTGTATGGTTCTTCTGTTCAACATACATAAATGGAAAGAACTTACCTTGTCGGTGGGTTGATTCAATATAGGCAGTCTCTCTTCAATTTTGTCTAGACCTATACAAGCATAGTTGTTGGCAACTACAACTATAAAAGAAATTACAAGAGTTGGTTTTAATTATTTTTTCCCCAAGTAAAACAACTCAAACTGAAAACTTGTTTTGAAAAAGAACTCATGCAATATCCTTGAAGTAGTTTCCTCCTCTTTTCAGTGAGATTTGAGGCAGCGAAGCCAAAGAACAAGGCAGATTTACAATGTAAGAAAAAAACTTCTTGCAGGAAAAGAAAATCCATTTGATAATTCACAAGCAACTTGTAGGAGCAGCTGAAATAACTTGACCTTTGCCATTCTATAAAACCAGGCTTCTGGTTACAACAACCTTGTGACACAGCTTCTAAATTTAACTAGTTCTCAGTGTAAGAAAATACAGCAGTAGCATTTGAAACCAGGTGAAAAGTGAGAAAGGTATTGAGCAAGAGACTGCGTAATAACTTCACATACCAAAAGTCATCCATCAATTTAGTATTACGAAAGCTGGAATATGCTTTCACTCTGGATTATTACGGGTTTTTTAAAGTCTTATCAATGTGTAATCAGTTATGCAACAAGTCAGGCAACAGGTTCAGTCAGCTACCCAAAAGAGCATTCAAGACCAGCATGACCATGTTAAACCATAAGTGCATCTGGATATAAAAAACAATCAGTTGAACTAAAGTTATGAAGAGCTTCATCTTTGCCTTACTTTGTGGTTCCAGTTTCTGAATGATAGGCATAGCACTTGTCATGGCTACTGATGTAATCGTCTTCACTCCTTTCTCTGCTATCTCACATACTGACTTCAGATAAGGATGATTATCCTTTGTGGTGATGTAAGCTGTGGACACCATATCATAGGTGGAGCTCACCAAAGGAAGGTTGGCAACCCTTGATACAATGTTCTGTTTAAAAGAGAAAGGTGTTACTTGACTCCTATTTTTCTGATCTAGACAAGGAAATTGTGGGACTTACTCAGACATACCTGCTGTGGATCAATTGCTGCCAATGCCATTTTTTCACGTCTTGAACCTTGCACAGCCTGTGAAAGAAACATGTATGAGTTATGGCATCACATCTGCTCATTCCAAGCATCAAACTTTAAAACCAACCTTTCTGTGATCCACCCCATTTACTGGGACCAGGATGTTCACATTCATGCATACAGAAATCAGATTGTATTGCAACAATTTACAAATCCAAAACTTAATTTAGGTAATGCAAGTACAGCACGACACAGGCTTTGAGGTACAGCAGTTCACTGATGAACGACCAGGAGATGAAGTTACTTATTTTTTTTCTAGAAGAATTAAGACAGACTTATCTGTTGAGCCAGGACAAATAAAAGCCATCCTGGAAGTCACTAAAAATCTAGTTTATTATGTCCAAGTCAAACAAAGAATCCACCACCAATAACTTTAATCAGATTAGATCTTCTAAGGAGCCCACCTAAGGCTCACTCTGTTCTGCTTGCTAAGGAGTTAGCATTCCTGTGACACTGAGAGCATTGGATCTCCCTCCTGCAGAAAATAAATCTCCTTTATGCTAATTTAGACTAAATTATTACACACTCCCCATTGAAATGAGTTGCAAACATTGGTCATTCAACAAATGTACAGTACTCAACATGCATTCCAACATGTATTCCCATGGAGAAAATACTAACAGCTCTCCCCACAATAACCCTATAGAAGGGGCAGAGTATTGCAGTAGCACGTAAGGAGAACACACTGAAGCACACTGTCATCCTATGCACACGTGCAGGCTGAACTACATCTTCAAGAAGCACCTTTTCCACTAATGATTTCACATAATGCTTAAGTTCCAGAAGAATCTGCATGAATGAAGGCAACAAAAACGTAAACTAGGAGTCCGTGCTCAAAAGGACTGTGGTTTACAAGGTCTTTTGCTAGGTTTGTCAAAGAGCCAACAGTAGTTTTCCGTCTCATAAGTATGACGGCAAAAAAGGAATGTGTTAATATTCCACCTGAGGTAAAATAAAACTTTTCCCCGTTACATAATGGAGAACGAGGACAAAGGCATCCTGTTAACACTTTGCAGGCATATTTGCACATATTAACATACACATGCGATAAAGTAATGCCCGCAATGAGATTGTACATGAAACAAGCAAAACAAGTAACAGACAATGGTTACAGCAGTAACAAAGAAGCTTTCCTTTCATTTAATAAGAATTTAAATACCCTCAGGAACTTGTAACACTCACAGAGTATTACAAGTCAGATCACGGGGGAGTTCAGCTGGATTTCACTATGAACTGCAAGTATACTACAGAACAAGGAAGATGATAACGGCACAGAATCTGGCCTCTTAGGGAAGAGGGGCCGTTACTTTAAGGATTATTCAATGTTCGTAGTGTGTCTCATAAAATCCATCCTCACGGGGCATGCATTTGAATTCTAGTCAATAAACTGTGAAGCTATTCCTACTCCTAAATAAAAGGAAGCCAACTAGAATCTTGCACGGTTTCAGAAACCCCTTGAATAGGTTCAGCCCTAGCTGAAGTCGGATCCACTCCTCTGGAGCAGGTGAGTGAGACGCCTAGAATCCAAGTCCAAGCATATTTCAGAGACAGCAAGCGCTGGAGAGGAAAGCGCTCAGGCTACTTCACAAACTTCATTCCTGCTCTCCCCTCTCGCTATGGGGAGAGTGCATGAAAGCAGCGCGGCACAGCAGCTCTGGCTCGCCGCGGTACCCAAAGCAGGAAGGCGCACTGCTTTCCCAAGTGCCTCCACGGGCCGCTTCCGGGATGGGGCATTCCAACGCCGCTCCCGGGGGCGGACGAGGCTCTCAGGACTTTCTAGTCCGGGCGAGGCTCGGCTAGCGCACCGAAGCGCGCCGGGCCGCGGTGGCAGCGGGGGC